CTTAAAATCACCCCTGCAGAAAAGAAATCAGCCCTCCACTGGACTTCTGGTTTCGAACGCATGAACAATCTGTCACCGCAAAATAAGGAACACAAAGTGTGAGAGCAATACTTTCCACTAAGAAAAATAAAGTGTGGTTAGGTGCATGGAGATTCTTTTTCCACTGGATATCAAAGACACCGTAAATACTGTAACTTCATTAACAGCACTGCAAAGGCAAAGGAACACCTGCTTAACAACAGCACAAAGCCTGCATTCAGTCAATGAAGGTAATTGGGGCAGAGAAATGCTTTGTATGTGGTAATACATTATAAGAGGAGCACCCTAATCGTGAAAGTTTGGTACACATGCATCTCACTATGCAAGTGTCCCAGTTCCACTACTACTTTAAATTACATAGTTGATGCTGTTACTCGAGATCACTTAACATGTTCTACATTAAGGCTTGAATATGTAAATACATTGTGAGCTCCTCTTCTGAAACTCTTTATTTTGAGGTTAATTCTCAATGGAGGGTTATCTTGTTTCGAACATAAAAGAGCTTGAACAGAACTAATGTTTCATTTTTACTGTTACGGCCATATACATTGACGATATCCACTCATGGCTTGCACTGGAGAGATCATATGATTTTGTTCCAGGTACGCTCAGGAGACCCTATATTCGTGAAAAAAACAAACCAGCTTCTGCCGTTGTCCACTTACTCTGAAGGGAACTGAAGCACTGTCACCTGAGTTACAGGATCTGAATGCTCTGTGCAGTGATACTCAGATCTCCTGAGTCTAGGAGGGGCCCAAAACTGGAGAGTGTTTCAGGGGTTGATGAATAATGAGGCAGTTCTGTTTGGTGGGTTGTGTGGAGACCTGGCTCATTCCGTCCCGGTAATTCTATCACTGTGAGAACAACTCTTTTTTTAAAACAAAAAAATGCAGTGCAGTACAGCATATTGCCACAGGTGAAAGGAGGAGAGGAGACAATGGAAAGGCATGAGGGGCCCTTCAGTCTATCCAACCTGTTGGTCAGTTAGGAGTCAATTGATCCAAAGATCTGATGCCGCTGTTTTGTGAAATAAACCAGGGTATCAGCTCCAACATCATGGCTGGATAGCTTGTTCCATACCCCCACAACCTTTTGTGTAAATGTCCTGTTCTCAGTTTTACAAGCAATTTCCTGGTAATTTACACTTGTGTCGTCTGGCTCAAGTTCCACCGTTCAGTCGAAAGGATCCCACAGAGTTCGTTGTGTCACATTTTGAGGTAACTAAACGCAGGGTCTTCCCTTTGCTGACATTGAAATGAAAAGCACTGGCAAGGATGAAGTGAAAAGGTCAGTCACGCCTGGCCCTACATCTGCTGTGTGGATTTGAATCATTAGTTAGGAGTCTAACTTCTCCATTTCCTGTTAGGGTTCATTTCCAGCACAAATTGCAGAACTTGCTAATCGTGCATGACATCTAGGAGATCAGCGTTTACAGTATGTTGGGAAATCCTAAAACCTAAGGAGGCTTTCAAATTTACTTAGCAATTTAATACTTGCCTTTTCTTGTCTTTCCTCCAAAGTGCTGTTTTTCCCCTGTGTTGGCGTGTCTGCACCCCACGCATATTAGGCACACCCAGAGCAGCGAACAACACAGGCAGTAAGATTAATAATAACTTCCTAGCTGAATTTAAATAGAGATTATCTGCTGTAGTCAGACAGACAATTCAGACATTGTTCTACAGCTTACAGGCCAGCGAGAACGTTTTTTTTTTTTGTATGAACGCACAATATAATTTTGCCCTGCGTTTTACAGCTACAAATATCAACATACAGAATCACTCTTAGCACCTCGAAATCACAGCGGAAGAGATGGACTGCAGCCTGCTGTTGGACGACCCTGGATGATAGGGACAGCTGATGGAAAGTTGACTGGGCCTGTTAGCTAGACCTCTGAGCTGTACTGTCAGGGTGGGGCATCTGTCAGCCGGCTTTACAGCTGAGCTAACACGCCAAACAAACCCATCCGTCGCCAAAAACAAAAACACTCACTACCGGAAACCGTCCCAGCTCCCGTCATTCCCCTTCGGGAACAGTCGCCCACCATCATGTTATTCCTGATTTACCACAGTGCTTTGCTCCAGCTACAGCACTGGGACGAATATCAAAACTGCCATCTTTGCTTTACTCCCTATCCATAACACCACATAACAGTGCTGTAAGAAGGTCTAGATTCATGCTTGTTCAGAAAGATTTACATGCCAGTATGTATGAATAGACGTCATTAAAAACATGAGGTTTATTAGCATTATTTTGAAGACCCCCCCCCCCCCTAGTCTCTTGGGCCTCTGAGGCCGACAAGTATTGTTCTTGGTCGCCATGGAAACCCTACCGTGTCAGGGCGGACCAAGGAGAGCTGCCAGGCTTAACTGTCTACTGATTACTTCCCGAACACAAATGGTGTTTGGCTTCTGTTTGTCTCGGCCACTGAAACAAAGCGCAGGTTGACTAACCGCTGTCGACCCCAGTTACCAAGACAGCGCCTGGGGAGCAAGCGACAAACTGTCATGCCACAACAAACGCACACCCACAGGCTTCTCATCTGCTGTTAATTCACTGACGGGGGCTGCCTCTTAGCTTAGCATTGTTTATCATGTTGTCCCCTGGAAGGTTGTGCATCAAACAAGTATGTTCCAATTTGTGTGCCTTTACCCCGCCTGGTTTTCACCTGAGAACGTTCCTCTTGGATTTCAAATCGTGAAACCGTCTGTTGTCTGCGACGCCTCATTCTGTATTCGCCAGCTGAGACAGGTGGAGTGACAACTGACAACACCACACATCTGCAGGACAGCGGTCACCTGCAGGGGTCAGGGCTGTGCAGCCAGCCCCAGCAACGCTACCGGACGTCCATCACTGGGGCTGCTCTCCCATCCATCCAGGACATTTATGGACAGGCGGTGCTTGAGGAAAGCTGTATGCATCATCAAAGACCCCACACACTCCAAGTACAGACTGTTTGACCCTCTACCATCTGGAAAGTGGTACCGGAGCATCCGGGCCCGGACTACCAGACTGAGAGACAGTTTTTACCCCCGCAATATCAAACTATTAAACTCCCAGCCTCTCTCACCTACGATCTGAACCTCTCTTTATCAAAACTCAGACACACATTGAAATCTACCTCTACCTCATATCAAGAAGCACACTCCCCATAGTTTTCTATCCTTTATTTCATTCTGTTGAATGTATGATTTTGCAAATCTGATGTTTTTGCATATTACCTGTTACCTTTTGTTGTTTTGCACGCTGCCTGTTGTCTCTGTCTTTCTTTTCTTATACAATTGTATTGGGCTTTTTTTTTGTACTGCTTACCGTCCGAGAGCTAGCTCAATAACATTTTGTTATACCATATACCCGTGCATGAGTATAATGACACACTTGAACACGCCCCCGGCCACAGATGTGCTCGGCTCCTGGCCTCAGACCGCTAGCGGCACAGCTCCTGGCCAAAGCGAAGGGTTTTTACCCAGAGAACCCTGCCGCGGAGACCGTGCTCACCGAGATCTTGGTGAAGACGGACAGCAGCAGCGACAGGGCCGACAGATACATCCGGATCCTCTCTCCCCCGAAGCGCCTCCCCAGGTACTCTGGCATGGTGACAATCTGCACGCAACGGAGTAGAGAACAGTGCGTCAGCTTCTACCACGCAGCAGGCCAGCGGCGTGGAGTGGCAGTCAGGCTTCTGGACTCGTAGGTGACAAGAGTAGAGGAGTTTAGGGCCATCCGTATGTATGTGTATATTGGAATTCCTATTCTCGCCAATCTCTCAGGACATGCACAGCACAGCAGACAGTACAGTGTGACAGTACATTACAAAACGGTACATAATAAACAGAGATAGGACGTACAGGCAACGAACAACCAGAACAACAAAAATTCCTGGTAGAGAACAATAAATACATGGTATCCCAAGTCAAAAGTGCAATAGTTCAGAGGGGCACTGAGTTCTGAGGCAACTATACAGTGAGCTGTTCATCACACACCCTGCCATAGGGTAAAAGCCGTTCTTAAGCCTAGTGGTCTGCGCTTTATTAATAATTATAATTGCTTACACTTATATAGCGCTTTTCTGGACACTCCACTCAAAGTGCTTTACAGGAAATGGGGATCCCCTCCACCACCACCAGTGTATAGCCCCACCTGGATGATGTGACGGCAGCCATAGTGCACCAGAACGCTCCCCACACATCAGCTATCAGTGGGGAGGGGAGCAGAGTGATGAAGCCAGTTCATAGATGGGGATTATTAGGAGGCCATGATTGGTAGGGGCCAATGGGAAATTTGGCCAGGACGCCGGGGTTACACCCC